TCATAATGAAAAAGAAATTTTCAGTCTTTCCAAGCATATTGATCACTATTACTTCCTTCAATGTATAGTATTAGGAGAAAATCTTGAGCTAGCCCTCATTTCCTTATATTTTGCTAACAAGGAGACATTCTAATCCTTTCTTAAAGTAGTCTTGTGCAAGAGTTATCCAGGCTTCAGGCCAATGCTTGTACCTGACTGTCTTCAGAGGAATGTTTTTGTTTTTGTTTGTTTGTTAAACCACTTAACTTTGACTTATGAATCATTTAAGCATAAAAAAGCCACTAAATCAAGGGATGACCAGGAGTGTCTTCATCTTTATCTTTTGGCACTTTGTTACTAGCAGCCAGTTGCAAAGACACACATTTTCTTCCCATTTCTTTATCTGGCTTTATCAAAATGCTAAAGATAAAAGAATTTTGCAGATCTAAAATAGTATTTTTGTACTAACAATGTAATTCCAACAAAGCTATTAGCTGAAAACTTGGCATGTCTGTACATGTTGTGCAGTATGTTCTTAAAAAACATCAGTGGAAACTAGACAAGTGCAGCACAAAAGATGAAGAGGCATCTGAAAAGAATTCTTTCATACTGATGACTCCAAATTTGACATTTTTAGTTCAAATTGTTGTCAATGTGTACAGAGGAGGTACAACAATGAGAACATTAGCTACTGATACAACAGTGCTCATGGTGTTGAAAATATGAACGCCGAAAAGTACAATCAGATTGTGATCCACCCGTGAAATACCATCTAGAAAGTCGGCTATGCTTACCAATTTAAAAAACTAAAATGTTAAAAACAAAAAAAACAAAAAAAAAACAACAGAAGTCGACAAACTGATCTGTGACATCAGGGTTACTTGATCTTTTATATACTTAGCTCAAAACTTTTGCAAAAAGAAATCTTATGTAGTAAATCATTTACTACATAAGATTGTTGTAGTAGCATTCACAGCATTTACAGTAATTGCTAATGCATTTACTGTAAATGCATTAGCAATTACTGTAAATGCATTAGCTACTGATACAATAGGTTTTGAACATGATTTCCCTTTAAGAAGCAAGAGACTACAGTAGACTACAGTAGATTATAAAGCACCATTTTCCTTGCCTTATGATCATATTACAAGTACATTCAATACAAATTGCACAGAATATGTTACAATAATACAGACCTAAGTGTTCGAAGGTCCCAAATCTTCATACCATCAGTGACAGCACTGGTCAGGAAGAGGTTGTATGAATCTGGAGCCTGTGAGCTAAACGCTGATCCCTTTAATGATACACAATGAACAAAACAGCTTAGTCAGCACAAGCTTTACCTGAAAATGGATATAAATCTTCATTTTTTCCCTAAATTTTTTATTATTATACTATTAGTATAATGTATACTACTTCAAAACAGAAGGTGATATTTAAAAAAAAAAATTACGCTGGGCTGTAAAAACAAAAACGGAAGCAAAAGTGAGGTTAGGTGGGAGTGTCTTAGTGTCATCACTGTTTTTTAGTTAAATAGAAAAGCAAAGAATTTCCCCTACAAATCTATCCATCTATTCCACACAGCTCTTTCAGACCCACTTATTGAATGCTATAGGTAAATGTGTAAGAGAGAAAAGCTTAGGGAGAGCCGGAGAGAAAAAGAGTTAGAGAGAGAAAGAAGCGGTGGGGGGGATTGTTTAGATTTCCACTGAAAGTGTGAGAACGGCAGCCTGAGAGGGCATTTCCAGTTCTTTTTTTCCGAGAAGTCCTGCGCTGTGATGAGTTCCAGGTGAATTTTGTCAAAAAGGCGATGGAAATTTCAAGTAAGAAAAGCTGCTTCTCAAAATGCAGTTCCTGATGTTTGGTGAGCCTCAGGAGGAAAACCAATAGTGAAGGGAAAAAATGTGCGTAGACTCCAAGCAGGAGCAATGCTACTAATCCTACGGCACCCAAAGGCCCCTCAGGCCCCCAGGCAGAGAATCCCACAGTGACATCAATAGCCAAGCTAAAAACAACACACCACAGGCTTTCCGCAATGTAATGCACACAATAGCTAGCGTGACAAAGAACAAGCACCTCTGGGCTGAAGGAATAAAGTCAGCTGTGAGCAAGAGTGAATTGCAGTTGAATGCTTTAATGCACTTCATCCATACCACAAGGTGCAGTGTATCCAGCTAATCCAGGCTGGCCCGAGTCTAAAGCAAGTTAGATACTGACCAAAGTCAGTATCTAAGGGTCAGTGGGTACAAGCCTCCTTCACACCAAAACATATACTTTTCTGCATCTACTAAGTTACATGAGCATCTGTACAATAGGTAATTATTTTTATATATGTTTTATAATAAAAGTTAATGGGTTTGTTGCTGTTACAAAGCTGGCAAGCATTCTTATGACTCTTGTATGTAGAGATACCAGTCCCTCCATGTCACTGTAACATGTGAGGCAATAAAAATGCTAACTATAAGCTGAATAAATAAATGAGACTTGAATAGATGAATTTTATAGTTTCACTGTGAGCAATATTCTTCATAGCACTATAATAGATGTGGACGCCAGCCCAAGCTGTCTACTTATTAGACACCAACAAATTGAGTCCAGATTGGTTCAAGACACTGATGTGGAAGTAAGGCCACATAAACCCAGACTGCATCATGGAACAGCTTTACTCCAAGGCCATCATCCAGCATCATCCTCCTGCCATCCCCTATGGCAGTCTTAATCCTCCTGCGCTACGGAGTAACATTCAAGATGAATGATACTGATGATGGCATGTCCTGTCTGTCTGTCACGGAAATGTTTGTATAACCATGATTTTTGTTTTTAACCATGACCTTTTTCATTCACACCACAAACTTAACACTTTTATTGCCTCAAAAACGATCCGTGTCTTGTGCCTTACGTAACTTGCAAAACACTCATAGATGCCTTATGTAAGACTATTACATCTGCCAAATAGTAGCCCCTTCAAGGGTAAAATGGAAGATGAGGCTCACACCAGTAATCGGTTCCAAGTCAAGCAAATTCTTCGCTTTGTGGGTTTGATCTCAACGTCATCCAATCTGCGTATGGACTGAGGAGATGTCTCTGCCTCTATCAAAGATTGGAGGTTAAGGCTAGGTTTAGTCAGACTATGAATGAGAAAAGACGTGAAAAAGATTTGACAACGCTCAGCAACATCAAAACTTAAATATGTGCCTTCAAAAAAAAATTGCATTTGTATTAAAGAACACTATCATTATCAGGATAAGTGCAATGTTTATGGTTTAGGGTGAAAAATCTTTTTTAGTAAAGCGTTCTGTCCCTTTATGCCAAGCAATGATTGAATTCAATTCACTTTTATTTATATAGTGCCAAATCACCACAACAGTCATCTCAAGGTGCTTTATACTGTAAGCTAAAGACCCTGCAATGCAAGAGAGAAAACCCTCAACATCAAACAACCACCTGTGAGCAAAAAGTTTGCGACTGTGGAAAGAAGAAAACTCTGTCAGAACCAAGTTCAAGCAGGGGGAACCATATGCTGCGACAGGTTGGGGGTGATGGGAGGAAGACGGGATAAAAGACATAGTGTGGAAGAGAGCCAGAAATGAATAACTAAAGATTAAATGCAGAGAGGTGTGTAAGCACACAGAGAGCAGCCTAGGCCTATTGCACTAAGGGAGAATTTAGGGTCACCTGATCCAGCCCTAACTACAGTATATGCTTTATCAAAAAAGAAAGTTTTAAGTCTAATCTTAAAAGTAGAGATGGTGTCTGTTTTGCAAATCCAAATTAGGAGCTGTTTCCACAGAAAAGGAGCCTGAAAGTAAGCCTGCTCTATTGGGGTGATACAGTACTATGAGGTCTTTAAGATAAGCTGGGGACTGATTATTCAACATCCCGTATGTGAGGAGAAGGAACTGAAATTTGATTCTAAGAAAAGCCAGGATGGAAGAAAAATGCTGTCTCTTTCTAATCTCTGTCAGTACCCTTGCTGCAGAATTTTGGATCAACTGAAGGCTTTTCTCAGGGGGTTTTAAGGACACCCTGATAACAATGAAGTAATAAATGCATCGACTATTTTTCAGCATCACTCTAAGACAGGATGTTTCTAATTTTAGATAATATTGTGTGAATGTAGTCGTACATATTTATTTAACATACACACTGAAGGACAAAAATGGTCAAAAATGACTCCAGAAATTCCTCACAGCGTTACTGGGGGCCAAGGTAATGCCATCAAGAATAAGTATCTGGTTCAACCCAGTAACATGACAAAACGTGTAATTAACACGCCAGTCCACCGTGTCCATTTCATGCTTTGGCTAGGCAAAGCGTGAAATGGACACGCATGCAGAAGTTGCATTACCAGCAGGGGGAGACACTCCCCCGTGATTATTTTCATGTTTGCTTGGAATAAAATATCTCCTTCGGCTGTCACTGCACGTGTCGGCAACTTACTGCAACGTCGGCATGCGTTCATGTGTGAAATGGAGATGGTGGACTATCTGTTACTATCCGTGATATCATGCTCAATTATTTAAGGTGAGGACATCCCAAAAAGAACGCTGGTTTGAGCGGGGAGTCAAGGAGGCCATTTATGTGACCAATGGTCATGACAATTTGCAGTCCACCCATTATTAGTCAGTTGTGCTAGAGTCAATGATTATGCAAATGTACTGTTTATAAAGTTGGGGAAACCTCAACTGACACTGTGGAAGTCACTTGGATGAGTGACGAAATATTTCTCCAACTGGAAAAGCTACGTCCACATGAGCAGAATGAACCTTTTTTTGGATTGGGTTGTCTGGTTAGACATTTTTAAACACTTAAACTTACACAACACTTACACCTAAAGCTGTTTGTCTTAAATTATCTTACATTATCTGCTAAAATGAGAAGCAATTGGAAATAAATTGTTCAAGCACTTGATTTAGAGCCTGGAGCGTTTCCCAGGTGTCACAGGGCGAGAGTTGGGGTACACCCTTGACGACGTACCAGTACACCACAAGGAGACAAACATTGGAGGAAGCTGGAGTTCCTGGACAGGGTCCATGCATTCACAGGGACAACATACAAACTCCACACTTAAAGACTCTAGTGGGTATCAAAAAGTCCTTTCATACTGTAAGTCGCTTATATATACTGTGATGACTGACATTACAACGTAACCAATTACAAACGATCATGCATAAAGGCTGAAATAATCATACGGGAAGTTATAAAGCTGGGTTCACATCTACTTCTTTAAATTGAATTTTCAAATATACCGCATACCCAAATGGAAATATTTTAACAGAATTCCAAATACATATAAGAGATTTGATTTAAAAAGCAACATCTTCCAGTTTTTGAAACAATTCTGGTTTAGCATGTGGACAAAATATTACTTTACCGCTAAGTGGTTCACTGGTGAGCTGGTGGGTATTAAGTGATTAACTGCATTTCGTTGCCCTGTACCTGTGCATGTGCAATGACAATAAAGTTGAATTCTATTCTATTCTATTCTATTCTATTCTATTCTATTCTATTAACAAGATGATATATAATAGTATTAGACAAAGATACAATTGAAGGGAATTACTATTACACAAGACAAATACATGCATATACATCAAGGGTAGTTTTTTTTCACATGAACAGTCGATTCGCCTCACCTTGTTCTGTGTGATGCAGTGGATGGCTCTGCTGTGGGCATCAGGCGCCTCTGAGGCAACTGTGCCTTTGTTCATGTCAAATACTTGAATAGACCGATCTGACCCACACACCAAAACAATGTCTGAAACAGCTTGTTAAGTAATGTTTTAACATTTTTCTCAGAGGACCAGCACCTTAAACAAAAATAACATATATTTAATCAACTATTTTCTATCATTTACAACCTTGGTAACTTTTTAGGGCCATGTGATGTATTCAGTCAAAAACTGAATACAATGGTTTGCCTTCCTGTAGACACCTTAATTCATTCCATGCTGTTTTATGTAAGTAGACAGAAATGAAAAGAAGGCCTTGTAGGCCTTATTATGGTGTACACGGACACTCCTACTAAAGAACAGTGTTAAAATCTCATGAGATATTGTAACAGTTTTAAAAATCCAAAATATTTCATACACACTTTGACCTAAGAAGGCTGCCATTATTTTATATGACCAATCAATTTTATGATTTAAACCTGTTGCATCCCACAGCTATCATTACAAAGTCGCTATTTCTGACAGACTGGTCAGTTTCCACAAGAACTTAACATTACTCTGTCTATGCAACTGATCCATTTCACTAAGAAAAAGAGCTCACAAATGCTGTTGGTTATACGTGACAATTTTCACTTATGAGTCTAAATGCTCTCAGATAGCAAATGAAACTTCAGTTTTCTGTTTTCTTACCCTTCCCAATTCAAGTGGATAATCCTTGCTAAAGTGGCCACTTCGGGACAAATAGCAGTGGCTACCATTCATCTGCAATGAGTGTTGGCTGTCAGTTCACGGTTTGCCTCAGCTGTCAATATGTGTCCATGTCTATTTACTATGGAGGAAGCAGTAAAACTCTGTGAAAAGAGTCTGATAAGAGTTGTTGAGGATATCCTGACCTTTTCTGTTAATAAATGCTGCTGTTAGTGGAACTTTCTTAAAAATAGATCAAACACTTTTAGACACTAAGTGAATAAACTCTTACACGAATGTAAGCAAACTGTTCAGAGGGAAAGTGTGATTTTTAGGACACTCAAGTCTAATGTTTGCTGGCATAATGCTGTAACAACCAGCTGTTGTTGTTGTTTAGCCGGCTTATCAGCTGTGCTGAGACGGGAAGGTCGCATGTCTTATCTGCTGACAATAACTAATTGCACAAATACTGGGAATTTAAAAAAGCACGTTAATGTATCTTTGCATGTGTTAGATCCCTGACTTCGGTTCAAGAGATAAGGTGAGGTGAGGAGGAAGAGGATGAGGTGAAAATGAGGGAGAAGAGAGAGCAATGGTGGAGAAGAAGGAAGACATAATTAGAAAGAGACGAAGCAAATGCACATGTACAAATGGGAAATGGCCGTATATAGTTTGAAAAAACCTACTGGATCTTACTTTTTTCGTATTATTAATAGATTGATTCTAAGTTTATGAGAAGGAATACATATAGTGTAAGCCATATATTATCAATGCAAATTTATGAGTACAATATTTTTTTGCTTTTCTTAAATTAACTAAAATAAATAAACTAAACATTTTGATTGAATTCCAATTATATGTATATCTGCATATTTACATATGTCATCACCCTATATGCATATTCTTTTTGTTCTGTACATGGTAGGGCAAAGTGAACTAAAGTGGAGCAGAACTGCTCCTGAGAGGACCTCTTATTAGTGGATTTATTGGAAAATAAATGCATTGTAAACCCTCAAATTCCTCACATTCCTAAATAAACTACAGAAAACCTCATTCATTCACAGGTAGAATCCACAATGGAAGCCATGGGGCAACATCTAAAGACACCATAGAGAAGGATGATCTGATATCCTCGTGTTGGTGTTGTTTCCAGACCATCATGAAAATGTTGTTCCAGGTTCAACATTGCAAGTGACCAATCACATTGTTGTGACGTTATTCTTTTGCGCGCCAAGCCATTCGTGCATTTATGAAATTCCAATGTTGCAAGGACAATATCAATTCTGCTTACTGTTTATTAAAGGGTTACGGTTAGGGTTAGGGTCAGGGTCCGTTGATCAGCGGACAGAGGCGGTTTCACGCAGCTTTAGTACAGTTTTTTGTTTTATGCCGGTTTTTCCCGAAGTTGCAAAAGTAGGACGTCACAACATTTTGATTGGTCACTTGCAATGTTGATCCTGGAACAACATTTAGTAAGATGATCTGGGAACAACACCAACACGAGGATATCAGATCAACCCCATAGAGAAACTGCTGTGGATGACATGGGAAATGTCTGTGTATGTGCAGTCTGAAGTGAAACACCTCTGCTGTACGAACAGTAACAACAGGAAGAAGGATACGGGAAAAAAAATCATTGATCGCAGACAAGGCGGTGATGTCTGTTGCTGATGTTGTCGTAAAGCATCCAGCCAATTTGCTGACACTCCGTTGATGATATCTAAGGAGAAAAAACAGCTTGAATTTGTCTCACTTTCTTCACAATACATCCATGTGTATACAGCTTCATGACAAAAAAGATTATATAGGAATTCAGCTGAAGACCAATGAAGAAAATACATACATAAACCAATAGTTTACGTAGCATTTATAAGGTTCACATGGTAAACTGTTGTGTATCTATTTACATGTATGAATCACTTGCAATTACCTTTTTATGTCATCGCGTGTGATGTCCAGGTTATACAGGTACAGGTACAGAGAGGGCCCGGATGCCAGAAGTACAAATTTGTCGAGATAATAAAACTGAGCACCTCTAATGGGTTTGGAGAACATTTTGTCACCCTAGCAGAGACAAAAATCAGCCTTAATAGTATTTTTTTTAATTTAATTATTGAAACATTTGCAAGACTTCAGTTTTACTTCAGTTTTTACTTCAGTCTTACTTATACTAGTATACCAGACCACATCTCATCAACACAAACTCACAATTTGGAGTGGTTAACAAACTTTTTCTCACAACTGCAACTCTCAGAAGCCGTTTGTGATCCTGGCTCACCCAGACATAGCCCTTGTCCCTGAAACGACTTGTATTCATTGCCAAGCTGTTTCACAAAAATACCAAGCAGTCAAAGGCTGTAGACCCAGCCAAACTGTCTAACTGAGTGAAACAAAGCAGGGATGATAAGCATCAGATATGGGGAGACCTTGGAGCTTAAGGACAGACCCTTGTTTTTACTTGGCATGACAGAGCAACTGAGTGTCCCATTAAATATGATACCCAGTGAGGTAAGGAGGGTCTGCATACGATCAGAGTTTTGGATGCTCCAACTTCAGTTGAGGCTTCGATAGCAAAAGTGCTATCACTGCGCCAAGAAACACATTATTTCATAATTGCATTAATTTGGCTTTCTGTGTTGGCCTCCTTGTTTTTAAATTCCATTAGTTTTCTAATTAGCAGTGGAAACATTGAATTGAGCAAGTTCTGTACAAACATGTCCAAGATACAATCTGATCATTACACAGAAATTGTCCTATTATAAAGGTGTGCTATGACTGAATTTTATGAACCACAGATGGAAATGGAAAAAGTTTGAACATTTTACCTAACCATTAACACATCGGAATGACAGAAGGAGATCTGTAGGGGACTAAAATCCTTCCAACAATCACACTGATCTTTGAAAACACAAGACAAATGTGTGGAGCTATCTATTAGTTATCTGTAGTCATTTTATTGAACTTCTACATCTATTTTAATTTTTTTTAGACCTTCGGAGAGAGGACATTTTTGCAATATGAGGTCACTCTGGCTGGTCTTTATTACCCTGGTTTTTATGGTTAGAACTTGGACTTCCAAGGAATGAGGGAAATTTCATAAAGGCTTAAAGTAGGCCATGTAGTTGTGATGGGAGATTAAGGTGACAGGGAGTGAAAGTAAGAAAAAAAAATAAGACACCGGTATAAGTGTATGCACATTCACTGGGGATTTACCATGATAATGGCAGGCTCTGAGTTACAGTGAGTCCAGATTTGGAGTGACAGGTCTTCTGACGCACTCAGCCACCACCGTCTGCTAAGGCTCCAGCTCAAACTGCTTATTGGCTTGTCATGCCCTAGATAAAAGAAGGCACGACTTTAGTAACCTGGTAATACAGAGTGTGGCTACAACATCTACTTTTATGGTACTGCTAAGAGAGCCAGGCAGACAGAAGAGAATATGCTTGTGGTGACCTACGTGTCACCTCAGCTTCTCTCCTTTTATCTCTGCTGCCCCCTTGTGGAGACCTGTGATCCAGCTGCACTTCAGCCATCGAGTGATGCCTGACATGCAGGGGTATTCTTTCTTTCTCTGTCAGTGTTAATTTTACTGCCCGGGACCACTCGTCTCAGAAATGCTCACACTGTATATAATAGCGACATATGCTTAGTTTAAACCTAAAAGGTCTCAGGAGAGAATGTGAGCCTTTCAACAATTATTGCTCTGGAACATAAGCAAACCACACTATTCTGGTAACAGAGAGCTCAGTGTTTAGTTTTTGACAGTGATAGCTTAGTGAGTTAACTAGAGTTTTCTTTAAAACTCTCATGTCAAGCCATGCATCCATTTCAGAGTAGGTCCAGGTTATTCAGAAGAGCCCAAATGAGTTATCCAAGCCAAGAGCAGACTTATAATTATTAACATGCTTCTTATCTCTGTGAGGTGCCAACTCTTAAACCTTAGCATCATTTGAATCAGTTAAGAAGTTGTATGAAAAACACAAAAATATCAAACAAAAGTACGGGTACTCATCTCTGCATCGCACACCTAGGTAGACAGCTGGAGCGCCAGTAAGGCAGGACTTGTACAGTAACAGTGTGCTGTCTCCAAGACCACACAGGATTTGTTTTCCATCACCTTGGGAGAGACAAGGAAACGCGGGATTGTTTTATTAGGATTTTTCAGTCCGCAGCTGATTTATTACAGCCAAAAATAGTAAAGCAGCCTTTAAGACACAACTGTGAAATGTTGTGTTTGAAAGAGGAACATTCATCTTGAGAAAACAGCAACAGTGGAACTGTTTCTAATATACTGCCAGCTATTTTTCATAAATTATTGTTACCTTACTTCACCCTTACAGCACAGGATGGACAATACTCCATGCAGTCGACAGTTATTAGATCTACTAACGGTTCGACATTGGCAGGTGTTTCTAATACAATCCCAAATCTGACTTATAACCTCAACCTTTAGCATTTCAACTGTTTAAATAATAGTTAAAAACACATAATAATAATAGACAAAATTACTCATATTAACCTACCTGAATACTGAAGGCATGAGACATGCTTCTTCACGCTCACATCAGCACACGGGATAGCCGGTGCCACACCGTCTGCTGGGTAATCTTTAAGGAGGGAACCTCTAAATGGCAAAAGTATGTTCACTATTCACATTTTATTAACACTGTCTTTTAAATGAAATTAGCTTAGGTCACTTACGTATTTCCATCAGCCTTTTTCCTAGAGGAAGAATTTTTTTGAACATTTGTTTTGGGTGAAAACATGATCCTCCTGAAAAGAGGATAAACTAAATTAAAAAAAACAAAAACATATACAAAACAACCAAATAAAATATATATACATATAGCAACTATAATTTACCTAACAAAAAGGAAATATGAGATTAAAAAATAATTAAGCGAATAAGTGCTTTAAACTTTGGACAGACCAATAAACTGTAATCTGATTATCTATCTGGCAAAAAGTTATTCTGTGATCATACCTCGGGGCACTAGTATATCCAGATGACTTCACTTTACAGTGGAAAACCAGAGGCTGGTCCTTTACACCTCCTTCATTGAAAGATAAGATGCTCATTAGGACACCAGCAAAGAAGTGTGTATTATTTTATTAATCCTTTATTTATCCAGGTAAAAAATCTCATTGAGATTAAAAATCTCATTTCCAAGAGAGACCTGGCATCATGGCAACAAAAGTCACATACCACATAGGTATATAACATTTAAAACGAATACAATATCCCATACAAACGTGTAAAATAACGAGTATATATGTCTGCATTTCTAAAACACAAATCAATAGATGGTGCAGTGGCAGGATGAGGTAAGACTCTTTAATATTGCTAAAATGACAATATATCTACCAGTATCGTGAAGCAGTTTCATATTTTAAAAGGAGGATTCAAGATTTCTGGGTGACCACTCCATGCTGTAAGCATTAAGTGTATCCATAAAGCCATGAAGGGTGATAGTTCACTATGAGCTCACTTTTTCCACAGCCATAAAAATGTGTAAGCACTTCCAAAAACTGTTCTTCTGTCAAACAAAGGGGAAGTAGGAAAAGGTCATTTAGTCTCTAGGGCCAGCCGTATATATACGTACACACTCTCTGGTCACGTTAGGTACACCTTGCTGATACTGGACCTCTTTTGCCTTCAGAACTGCCTTAAATTTGTGACGATATAGATTCAATAAGGTTATGGAAAACTTCTTTAGAGATTTTGGTTCATGCTGACATGACAGTATCACACAGTTGCTGCAGATTTTTGCACTGCACATCCATGAAGCAAATCTCCCATCCCACCACATCCCAGAGGTGCTCTATTCGATTGAGATCTGTTGGCTGTGGAGTTGATTTGAGTACAGCTTATCCTGCTGGAAGCATCCATCTAATGTGCAAACTGTAGCATTTAAATGATGCTCAGTTGGTACAAAGGTGCCCAAAGTGTGCCAGTGATGAGAGGATGGAAACTTCTGACCACAACTGTATGTTTTGTATGTTTTGTACACTTAAACATGTTTAAGTGTACAAAACCTGAATTGCATAATTCACCTGGTATCACAACAGTTATGTAGTATTTAAATGTTAGGTAAAGCATTAGTCCTTTTAAGTTCTGTGAGACTGGTGGCTTACATGCAAAACCACCTTCCACTCCTCCAATGTGTTGTGAGACGGCATACTAAGTAGCTTTTGCTGCTCCAGAACAGATTACATGTTGAAAAGTAAGCATTTTAGGCCAATTAAATGGAGACGCAATCACTTGGCGTTGCTTAATGGCCCTATTGATCTCCTGCTGATGTATAATGGTGCTTTAGTTTTACGGGGCAGTAAAAATCCCATAATTTACGCTGACTTTACAGTAGACAGTTATTTGAAGCAAAGTGAGAGTTTCAGACAAATTTCCAAGGAAAGTCATATGTGCGTAAAATCACAACAGTTTGCTGTGCGCTTGTTTTACGGCATTCATTATGAATTAGCCTAATGACAAAAATTATTCAAAGATGTTTCTTAATATTCAAATCCTTTAGTCTGGTTCAGCACATCAGGATGTTCATTGTCTGATGGAACAGCTACAACACCCCAAAACTTTCTGCGCACAAAGTGAGACAGCTGTATGCTCTCCTCAGGTGTTTACCTGTTTACCTCCTGAGTTACTAAATAGGACATTATTCAAATATTCAAACACTGAGGTCAGCTTATGTGTAGGTAAGGAATCCCTCTGATCCAGGTTTCAGGCTGTAAACACTCAGAATCTAATAGTTGTTCCACGCTCGTCTCTGTTTATCCCTAATATGGTCATTTGTGGCACAGATCTCTGGATCTGAGCACAGAAGCCCACCCACCCACCAACCTGCTGTTAATGAAGGGAAGCCAAATACAAACAAAATTACATAAAGGGAGCCAAAATGGCTTGCTACAGATAAAGGCTATTCTAGCTGAACTTAAAAAAAGCACATAGAAGAGCCCCTTTGAAACGTCCGATACTCTTTTGTTTGTTTATTTGTTTTATAAGAATTAGCCAACCAAGTCATGTTCTCAATCAGTCAACTCAGACCTCATTTTACATTCGCTGTGTCACAGCTTTACTGACCTGTGATGAGAAGAGCAGACAGTAGCAGACAGCAATGTGAGTAGAACTAAAAGTATCAGAGGCACCTTAGTAAGCTGTCACAGAACTACATTACAAACATGAAGCTAAAGTAAGGCCACAGTGTGTGGTCTGTATCAAGGTAACTGTTCTTTTGTATTTATACCTTGTAAAACTACATGGCCACATATTTAGGTATAGACCAAGGTGACATTGAGAACCTCAGTTTCTCTATCTCTCTTTGATCTGGTTTCACAGAATTTTTTTTTCTCTGCCATCCAAGATTTTACATCTTCAAAACAGTGGAGGCAATTAATATCGCTTGGATCACAATGTTTTATGGGGAAATAGAACTCATACAGTGGGTCCAATCATTTTCAGTTCATTATTTGTACTATTTTCTGTTCATTCTGTGAGAGAAGATCCTGTAGATCACTGCAGTTTAGTGGGAATTTTAGGGTCCAATGGCTTCTAGTGCTTCAAGGAGGGAACTCTATTGTGCTCCATGTCATCTGCCTTTCTTTGTTTCTTTATTTCATTTTATTCTTAATAATTTGTGACACCTCAGGTCAAACAGTAAAGCTGTCTATTCTCCCTGACAGAGAAATCTAAATGAATCAGATTCACATCTGCAGTATTTTCATACTGATCTGATCACTCTATGGAAAATGTGTGTTGTGCATTGCTCGCAATTTATTCAGTCCTTCTGTTTTACTAGTTCCCTGAAATCCTTTCTATAAAATGACTTAATTCAAGCAACAGCACTCAGGGGTTATAGTACACATCATGCAAAAAGTAACAGCAGCTGATTATAATCATCTCAAAAAGCCAGGAGTCTTCAGTGCATGTGTAAGAGACCTTTAGTGGTCTTGCACACATGCAATGGAAGAACAATTCTATTTCCAAGTATCTTGGAGGTTTATTGCATAATTTGTATACAATTGTGTAGATAACTTTACGAATACAGAATGCATGGAGAGCAGCATGCTGGGTTAGTGTGTAAACGTTTGTGGTTTTTGGTCTGACAGTGCAGCCGCACGGCACTTCTAGACTCTTCAGTACACCCCCTGCACAGTCTGGCACTGGCAAATTCCTCAACTCCAGCTGTGAGGAGACAGCTAATACTGCCTCTCAGCACTACCTCTCTGTATGATGTATGTATGTAAATGTCAGTATTTGGTAGGTCGCTCCAGGAGAACAGTTCTAAGTCGCCAGATCCCAATCATAAACTTTATCTGTGATCCTAATGGTCCACCAGAGAAACACAAACAGGCTCACTTTACCTATGACTCCACAACAGGAAGAAGCAGCCAGTCAAAAAAAATGGGTTAATGTAAAAAGAAACCATCAGTCTGCATGTGCTGCTCTAACTGAAGTACCTGTTTTAAAACAGACAGTCGTATAAAACCCCAACAAAATGAGGGGAAGGAATCTTTAAATTGTGAATGTTTGCAGATAATGAAGATGTTCTCAGTAACTCCTGAAATTGCCCAGCAGACTTTTATTAACCCAATAGTAAAATTTAAGAGGAACAAATCCCCCGAGATTGCATCAGGAAAGACCTGTTAAATAAAATCAAATAAAAAATTGACAAGTCAAATATGCGGTGCTACCTGCTGTGGCAAGCCCTTGTGAATAAGGGAGCTGTTGAAAGTGGCTTTTATATGTGGTCAAGCAAAAAAACAAAAAACAGATAATGAGCCAGTCATGAAATAAACCACAAAAAACCACATTTTTAAAGCTCAAAGTCCTCAGATAGTAGTAGCTTTCTTTTTATTCTGTGTGTATGAGTATAAGTGAGAGGTGAGTGTTCGGGGATGCTGACCTTTCTTTTTAGGATGGCTGGGCTCCTTCCTCTTTAGCTCAGTATTGAGGGGAGAATTGGGCAGCGGAGAAGAACTGAAAACAAGAGAGGGGTGAAATGGAGGGGAGGGCTGGGGGAGTTACTGGAAATGGAGGAGCACAGCATTTTCCACTCTTATGGATTATTAGCCCCTCTGATTTCCAATGCCATGATATTGTTGACTCATGAAAAACCAGATGGCATGAATGTTTGTAATAGAGGAAGTTAATATGGAAATGTCAGAGTCAGAGGGCATTAGAGGCAGGAGGCCAACTTTAAAAAACAGCCCACAATCATATATAAGCTCAAATGACCAGACTAACAAAACTGTATAAAGGCATTGTTTTTGCAAGTTGTAACTATCCCAAATGATTATGCTTTGGCTCACAAATAGCAAATTTGTTAAAGCAGACAAAAAGCACATTACGTTGATGAAATTAGTCCTTATTGGTGCTGCTGGACTTTGCTAGGTAATCATTTATGGAGTTACGGGTAATGGCTGAATGAATGTTCCTTCTTTCTCAGAGGACAATTTAAAACCTTTGGCATTTAAAAAGTAATCTTATTGTGACTGTTAGCTTACGTATGCAAATTTTAAAGTTTAGAATCGTATAAAGTGCAATCACTCACTAGCCAGAGCAGTTTTGTGCTTATTTCAAATAGTTAAAAAATACTTATTTTGTCTGTCGTTTGTAGACTTTTTTTAAATCTTTTTTTATTTTATTTTTCACAAAACAAGTAGCTGAAATGCTTACTATTATACTACCCATAAAAATAAAAAGCAAAACAAAGTTTTAGACCTCAAGTACAAGGCCACAGTGTCCCTCATCAAGTTCTATTAAACTTGAATTTTGGTTTTGATCTGTAAGATGAAGTGAGTAGGAAAAAAAGGTTTTGTCACTGTAGATCATCAAAATATTGTATCGCTACCTAATATTTTTCAGTTAACTCCAGCTTTACCTTGGGAACACTGAAAATCCTTTGCCACAAGCCAAGGGCCTTCCTAGGTCATATAGACGCACCTCCAACATGACCACACATGGGGTAAACAAAGAGCTCACTAACATCAGCATCTGTGTGGGAAATAAATTCAATCAATTAAAATTTTAATAAAATAAAAAACACTATTCTTGTAGTAATAATATATACATAAACATGTGTTTTAAGCTGTTAGACTGAGAGAACATTAAATAATTGCTACTGTTTTACATAAAAGTTAGCCATAGGTGAACTATAAACTTGGTTATTTAGTAGAAGTTTTAAGAAAAAAACAAAGCAAAGCTGTTTAGGGATCGGTTTTAATGCTGCAGCCATTTTCAAAAATATTGTATGTTTACATACCAGATATAGTACCAGACATGGGGAGAGGTGGTGGGTGCATTTACACTCCAACAATCATAAAAGTTAATTTGTTAATATTCTCCTGCTGAGAATACGTGTAACTGTTTACATTTATTTCCTACAGAGTTTATTATATTTGGCAATTATCCAAAAGCCTATGGAAATCTACTTTTTTCTGTGATGTTGTTCTGGCCTGTCTACAAATAGACTGCTGCACTTTATTTTAATTTCTACTTAGAACCTTCAAAAGTTCAGTGACTGCATGTTACATGGTTGTGACACCAATGAAATCAGTTTGCAGACAAACACACATTAAAAACATTATATCGCACTATCCTAACTAGTAAATCCTATCTCTTTATACTAAAAACAATACCAGCAACACTGTATTAATGATAGAAGTCAAGCTGAAAAGGCAATTTTAATGGAAACACTCACAGAGTTATCACACCCTGGAGAGATGGTCCATGAGCCAGCCATAGTGATGCTCAGTTTAGGGTAATCTACAAGAACAAAAATCATATTCATCATCATGTGCTATCACATTCAAAAAAGAAATGACCAGTGGAATCTCTCAGGGGAAACCACATGTTTTATTGGAGGCATACCAGAGTTTCTTAAAGAAAGACAGAAAGATGGGAGAAGGCATGTCCCCAGCAGCCTACCTTTGAAATATAGCGCTGTTACCAGTTCAGACGTAGCCAGATCAACCACATACAGACCATCAGAGCTTCCAATACAAAACCAGCTGTTGTCACTGCATGGGCCCCCAAACAGAAACATATGGAAAAACCATGTTAAGGGGTTTTCTCGCAAAAAGAATTTTTCATTTGGGGTCAGACAAACGACACAAAAGATCAACATATTGATGTGATGAAGTGGCAAGACATGTACACCATAAAAGTATAGGCCTTGATTCAAGTTACCTTTGACTTCATGCAGTCTAAACTATATACATTCAGCACACTGGAAACTAATACCACAGAGAAGAAAGGAGCTCTGCTCTTTTATCCACTTCCTGCTCTGGGCTGCATGTTGAGGTTTTGAGTTTGTGGGCAATTTATGTTTGGAAGGTTTTACATTTTTGTGCATCATTATTTTCATACTACTATGTGGAATCTTACTTGAGCAAAGCCCGTGAGCTACTTTAGTTTGGCACATCAAGCTGCACTGTGAGAAACATACATAACATGCTTTAGTTCCCTAGTGTCCCAATTTATTTATATATTTAAGCTTTGCTTTTCACTCTGACACGTCAGCATCACTGCTCCTTCAACCCCTCCACCAACACAACATCCACAAGTCTCCAGAGCAAGATTTATTTATCAGTACCCAAATTTATAGAAGCATACTCGCAGGGAATGATGAGCTGGAAGTCCAGATGCCAAACTCTGTTGTGCCAAACTGTACTGCTGTAGTAAATCAATTATTTCAAATGTGTGCTGTCTGAATAGTGTCTAAACACTGATGCTAACAGTGACTAGAAATGATTACTTTGTCTTATACAATGAATATGTGGCTTGCAAAGAAACTTCAACGACTTCAAATGATCACACACTGACTCTGCTTCCACTTGTTCTGTATTTCACTCTAACAGTAAAGTGTGAAGTCAGTAAGTCGCTGAGCTCTGCACTGAGATCACAAGCTTTCCTTACAGCAATTAGGAATCATACAAATCTAGTCATGTCTGCGTGTTTTTCAAGTGCCTGCCTCCTGTCACAGCAACAATATGTTTCAACGGTCTGAAACTTTATGCTTCGAGACAGCAGTTTCCCGCGCCGTGTGGAGTTTCCTTCAGGTTTCCTGTGAGTGTGTGAACACGTGCAGCAATTAGTCCATACGGATGTGGCATGTCATAAGGACTTTTTTTCCAGGAGCTTGTGACACTGTGTTAATGGCAAAAATGTGCAGCTTTTTTTTTTTTTTTTTAAATTTGACATATGTGTTTTAAATCATTTTGCTAATATTCTCCTGGATGACATACCATTTGCACTTTGTGGAATAATAAACAAAATAGAGCCCTTGAGAATACATATAGCTGACAGTCGTGCTTTATTAAGATTCCCTGTCAAAAATGAAGAGAACCAGATCTTCCTTGTGCTAAAATCAAACAATATGATCCACTGAGAGGGAGGAAACGAGTAAATGAAAGGCTTAGATCTATTTTTTTCTTGTGACTAATGATTGAAAACTAATTGTAAACTACATCTACAACTCTGTGAACGAATCCATTCATCCACACTGTTTAGTTTATGTAGTTTTACCAGTTTACAGGAAGTTATAATAAGGGTCAAGGCACCTATTCCAGCTAAGCTGTACTTACTTTTCTTGGTCACCATTGATGTCTGATAGAGGCCTACATAAAGCCATTTTGAGAACAGGTTTTGAAGTCTCCACTTTATCAGCAGACGATTTTAAAACACACCCTGGAAGAAAACATCCAAAAGTAGCATAAAAGTAACTGAGTGAACTTTTCCAACTAGTTTAAAGAACTATCTGTTTCATGTCGCGTCACCTGCTTGATGGCTCACAGTCTCTCGGTGCATTTGATGTCTTTTTTCCATCTTCTCAAGGTCCATTTTGGTCACTAGGTGACACTTGTGGTCGTCACTGAGAGAAAAGCACCACACCTAAAACAGACAGTTGTCTTTCAGCTCGTGGAATTTCAGTGTCTGAGCCTTTTGAGCTGCCGCGTACCTCAGTCACTAACCTGTCCATCAGTTGAACCGGTGATAAGATGCCTGTCCTCTTCCAAGAAGTATGTAGTGAGCAGTGGAGAGGCTAAAGGATTAAGGAAGTTCAATATTTTCAAACCTTCAAATTTTAGAAAATTGAAACCTATGGTTGAATAATCATAACTAATTTACTTTATGCTAATGGCGTGGCTTCTATCACAGGAACCCTGGGTACAGAAGGGAGAAAACCCCAGAAAGCGATACCAATCCTTAACCAACAGCCTAATCTGACATCCCAGTTTTTATAGTCCTGTTTTAAAATAGAGTTATCATTTCTACTGTACAAAGTGAATAAGAGTATTGCAGGCTAAAGGGGCCAAGCTCAAAAGAATGAATGTTTACCGCTTCACCAACATGATTTAAAATATTTACGTCATACCTGAAAGCACAAACGACTGGAAGAAAACAGCTTCAGTTTTTAAATCCCACACCTGACGAGACAAAAGTAAAAAGCTAAAAGTCCAAGTAAGGTGTGCACAATTTGTTTTTCTAAACCATTACACATCACTGTGGCTAAATAAAAAGTGTAAAATTTAAAGTAATACCCTAAAGGTGCGGTCTTCTGATGTGGTGACGAGGATATCGTTATTCCAGGGGCAGAACTCTGCTGATGTTACAGGTCCCAGGTGGCCCGTCAAGGTATGGATAGTTTCTGGTCTCTGATGTGGAAAAAACAACCGTAAAACTTGAGTAAGAACAAGTGGTGATTACTGTCTTGTAGTAAATATTTTTTAAAAAGTCAATGAGGTGACTGTAGCTCAGCAGGCAGAGCAGGTCATCTACTAATCTTAAAATCAGGTTTAATCCCTGGCTGCTCCAGCTTGCATGCAAAATATCCTTGCGCAAGATCTTAACCTCAAGTTGCTCTCTGCATCCATCAGAGTGTAAATGTGTATGAATGTTAGACAGAGCATAGAAAAAAGTGGTTGTATGAATGTGAATGTGAATTGTTGAATGAGGCACATGTTTTAAAAGTGCTGTGAGTGATCAGGTAGAGTAGAAAGTATAAAAACCAGTCCATTTACAACCCTTTAGCTTAAATACATTGACCAAGTGGAAGACGTGCAGCATGATCATCTGGTACCTTTGAGCTGAGAATACATGCAGTTGCTCCCGTGCATGCAGCCACTCGTGCATCAGAGAAACAAAATGAAAGATGAACAACCTCCCCCAGCAAAGTCCCGATAACTGTTCCAGCTGCAACTTTACCTGCAAACCAAAATGTTTGTCTGCTTACATTTAAACTTAACAGGAAAATGATCATTTTCACTACATCACGTGATATGAAGCGTGTGCTAAAGTGGCTCCGCAACATTGCAAAACAGAGCTCTATAATGGGGAAAAATGTGTGTGATTTGGGATGGAGAAACGCTTTACTGCAGAGCACTGCTCACAGCATGCAACAATTCAGGGTCAAACACGCAGAACTATGTATCTTTACCCTCCTGTGTTCTCTTCTGGCACAATTCAATATCCCAGACAATGACGTAATCAGCAGAGGCGGAGCAGAGGATAACAGGACTGCTTCTTTTTCCAAAAGTAAGGGCACTGATGTCACCATGGTGACCAGTTAGTATGAGGGGCTATGAAAAAAAAAATACTTTAGTAAAGCATGAATGGTCAATGGTCAAGAAGGTCAATGACATAGCAGCTCATGTATCTCACAATCCATTACAATTCACAGCTAATCGCCTGTAAAGTGACAAACATGACCTTGACTCTAGCACAATTTTAAACAAAGATCTATTTAGTAGGTTCCCTACTGTCTGACAAAAACACCAGGCCATTTGTGATTGTGACTAAATGCAACATTAAAATATATAAAAGATGAGTGGATAATGTATAAAAGTTTGTTTGCCTGTCTGTGCATAAAGGTTTCACCGGTTTTGCCATTTTTAAATGTACTATGCTGGAATCCACATAATCTGGCCCAGGGCTAGTAAATGTGTAAGAAAGAGAGGTTAAACAGCCACCTGCTGGCCTTTTTAGGTTAGTGACACTGTTTCTTCCAGATTAGTTCACCTTGAAACAAACTGGCTGGCAAAATGACAATAAAGTCCGTCATGTAAGAGGAAGAGCAATCTGTCCACGCGTGGCTTGTTTCGCGGTCATGGCACGAGTGAATTAAGAAACGAAAAAGAAAGTTGTCTGAATGCAGATGAACTGTTTGTTTAGTTTGCCATGATATGCTAAATCTAACGTGCAAATCTGGTATTTATTGTAAACTTCGCTGCAGCATTTCAGTAGGAATCCATGTCTGTGGGTCAAACATTCAAACAAATACTTTTTAATGACATTTTTGTATATATATGCTTTTTTCAGATGTATTAAATTGTTCTGACGCTCTGTAGCCAGAGTGCGGACCATGGTGCAGACACGAACAAATTACTTAAAAACTAACAAACCTTCTGCTGTCCGTCCCTTGTGCTGTAAACGAGCACTTCCTTGCCGTGCTGTGGTATGCTAAAATAAGAGTAACAGCATGCGAGTTGCCGGTGTGACAGGAGTCTGTCACAAGTCAAACTGAGCTTTTCAGTCAGCATCTTTGCCATCTGTCACAGGCTAACACCGTGACACGACCCTCCGCCTGCTGTGTTACGATCGTAACGCTAATTATCTCCTGGAAGAAGTACGTGGAGCGTCATTAGTAACTGTGTGTGCGTACTCATACAGTTCCTGTCGTTATTATTAACTGTCCGTGCTCGTCGACACTTTAATCGCTTTAGAAATGTTGATCGTTGCTATGACACCGAACAAATTTCCGCCACGACAGATCGTCTATGTGGCAGCGCTTCACTCAAGTCGTAATACTAATGCTAGGCACGCAAACACGCACTGATTCCTGGTTTTGTTCTCTCACGTGCTTTAATCACGTTTGTTGTTTTAAAAATGTCTTCACGCAACATTTCGATCATCAAAACTGTACGCTTTGCCCAGTTTATGTAGCTTTTGCATCCAACTCCAGAAGTATTTGGAATTAGGGTTAGAGTGGAGCTTCTACAATAAACCATCCGTACTTGTACTTCACCATTTGACCGCAAGATGGTAGTCCCCGTTAGATTGTGTGCTTCTTTCTGTTTAAAAAAATAGAGAGTGATTTGAGTCACAATCTAACATATATTTATACAACAGAGTTACTTAATTAAATTTAAATATGAAAACTTAGGTGGCATTATTGATTACAAGGTTATTTTGAGCTTGTGTTTATATTGTTAATGTTGCTCATCATCATTAAGCTATAAATAATTTTATATTAAATATTTTATATTATTGTTAGTTGTAGTATTAGTAGTAGTATGCGCAGGATTTTATTTTATTATAAGTTTTTACAAGGATTTCAAGTTGCTGGGGACCTACAGAAAAGATGATTCCATCAGAGAGAAAAAAAGATGTTCAAGCTAATTGCATAAAAAAATACAATAAAAACATAGTCCGATTACATCTGTAAATAAGCTCGTTACAAATTCAACTTTGCAAAGAAAGCAAGTTAGCCAATGATAAACTGATAAACAGTGACACTATGCTCAGTGGCATATTCAGTCTGCTTAAGTAAGTTCACTTTAAGCATTTTTAAAGCAAAATAAAAGCATACATAATAATAATAATAATAATAATAATAATAATAATAATATCACTTTTATTAATGCTTTTGTTGGACTTCACATTGCAGCCTTGTGCCTAAAGTGTTCTGTAAAAAGAAAGTTCTTCATGGCGAAACGAAGAACCAATAGAAGACATCAGAGGACAAGAAGTCTTAAGTGGATTTCGAGTCATCCTGTTTGCTAACCGTTTATAAAAATAACTAACGGAAATGGGGGTTGCTGGGAATCGTAGTTCTCCCTTTGAGGTAGCGGATATGACGCATGTGTTGTGCAGCGGGTAGCTGGGTGTCGTCCGCAGTCTCCTTTGCTGTAGTTGGATGAATCAGTCGACGTTGACAGTCAATGGGATATGACAGTGCTTTTGTAGTACGCCGCTAACTTTAGCTAGACCGTTAGCTGGCTGTCAGGTCTTTAGGAGTGCGTTAGCCGAAAGAGAGAATTTCCAGTGCCAAGGCATTTTTGAACAAAGTTGTACAATTCGTCCGCCTTAATATCTTTATAAGATGACGCTGATGATGTTTTCGGCTAAAGGAAGCTAATTTAACTTAAGCTAGATGGCTAGCTACCGTGTCATCAACTTGTGAATGTTATAACTTAGTCACTGTGCGGGCCATAATAACCTTATTCATTGGAGAGTGTAGCTAACTAGCCGTTGTATTAGCCGGGTAGCATTACAGCGTGAAGTGAAAATCGAAACGAAGTTAAAGTAGTGCTAGTGAAGCTAGCTAGTTTTAACCCGTAGAATGAAAAAGACACAGCCTGACACATTGGATTTTATTCCTCAAAAAGACATCGTATACAACAAACTTCTGCCGTACGCGGACAGGCTAGACGCTGAATCCAATGATATTTTGAGTAAGATAAAAGGAAACTTGGGCCGAGCTGTTCAGCTTCGAGAGATATGGCCCGGTGTCCTGTTTTGGACGAGGAAACTTTCCACGTAAGTAACACTAATCTCTAATGTCCTAATGTAACAGTTGTTGCTCACTTGGTAATGTTTGCAACATTGAGCCTATTGAGAAGTAACGCAAACAACATATATTTTACCACTGTAACTCGTAAAGTGTAAAATGCGGTGTGTTTATTATATAATACGCCGAAGTGTTTTGTAGGAACTGTGCGCACACTGATCAGTCAAACCGAAAACTTTGATTTGTTTTGCGTGTTTTACGAAACACGGTCGTTTCCTCACTGCCTGCTGTGCTTAATTACTTATAAAACGCTACACAGCTTTGAATGCCCGGTAGCTACAGTCTGTCGGGCATCTGATTAGGGACGCTACGGGTTTCATAATCAGGCCAGTGTCAAATACACAACCTGACCCAGACAGAGCGGCACAGTAGTGGGTCATTTAATTGCTGTTCTGCAGCTGACATTTTTATTTTGAAGCAGCGAGTCAGATGACGGCTCACCAGATATCGCAAAATTTAAATTTTATGGTTTCCTGTCAAGCTGCCTCAAAGGCGGCCCTTGTGCATAACCACCTTTTGATATGCATTATAATAGTTTCAGATCATGTTTCAGTGGTCCACGTGGCTTTCTGTTGAGTGTTTGTGCCAAGCTCTTCAGGTGAGGACATATATGGTCTTGCTTAACTCAGTACAGTGCATAAACATGACATTTAACATTTAACCCCCAGATTTCACCAGCAAAAAAATATTGTCGGTATGGATAGTTGATTACATTATGCTGTTTGATGTTGTTGTACGTGGTTGCAGGCCTGCTTTAATCCGTTTCAGTCCCAAAAGCTGGCTCATTGCACTTTTCAGGAGTGACTCACTGCCGGATCAGGCAAACGGAAAGTTGACTGTTATGCTGACCCAGATTCGGTTTACCAGTATTTTTGCACTTAAAGATTGATTTAAAAAACATTTTCATTTTAAATTGTCTACAAGCTTTATTCAAGTGTAGCATTTATTTTAAATATGACTTTTCTTAAATTATATTGATTATATTGATTACCAAGTTCATTACATTCCTGTGTCTTATGCATGTAAACACTTTTGACCTCTTATTATCTGTCCTGAAACTGGAGTCATTTTCCCACATTCTCTTCTCCTTAAGGTACATGAGACTGTATGGGCGCAAATTCAGCAAAGAAGACCATGTGCTGTTTATCAAGTTGCTCTACGAGCTAGTGATGATACCCAAACTGGAGATCAGCATGATGCAGGGCCTTGCTCGGCTTCTTATTAACCTCCTCAAGTAAGATTGGTTCCTGTCTGGTTTACTCAACAACTTGTACAGATGTGTTTTTGGTTTCTCCAAGAGTGAAGTTACATTTAAACATGCCGTATGCTCACCAGTGATGATTTGTCTGGTGAAGACTGCATGATCAGGTAGCTTTTGCGTGTTTCTCAATTTCTATACATATGTCATCTTCATCTTAACAGGAAACGAGAACTCCTGTCAAGGGAGGACCTTGAGTTGCCATGGAGACCGCTGTATGAGCTATACGACAGGATTCTTTTCTCAAAGACGGAGCATCTCGGCCTCAACTGGTTTCCCAAGTATGCCTGTGGTTTTAAGTGAAGCCTGCAAATGTTGTTATTAAAAAAACAAATAAATAAAAACAAATGAAAACTGTGCTTAAACTTAGAAGTGAGGTATACTTTTTGGTTTAGCTGTTGAGTCAGATTTCACAAATTAGGTGGGATGGTTTTTTTAAAAGCAGCAGAAAATGTGCTTTAGGCAACATTTATTTCACGGTTAGTCTGAACTGCACATATGATAGTCAAATTGCACTGAACAGCTCCTTCACCTCTACATTGTTTTAAAATATGTGATGCAATCATCTTTATTAATCCTTCTTTGTAAAAAAAGCAACTATTTCCTATTCACAACCTCTTTAACACAGCACTTGACCAGCTATGTGGAGATTGGAGGAAGTCTGATTCCCTCCAACTCTCCTGCTATTTGTTAGCCAACTTTTTGTTGCAGTTTTTGTGTGCGCAGCAACGCTGTCTCAGAAAAAGAATGTCCTGAAATGTGCATTATCATATTTATTGTTTTAAAATGACTCATTTCTCATCTTTCTCTAAGTTGGCCAACTCTTCACTCTGCCTGCCAGTGACATTGTCAAATGGAAGGATGTCTTAAAAAGAAAAAAGCTTGCTCCGCGACATCACGAACTGGCCGTTAGAAGTCAAATTTTTACTTTTTTCATTTCATAACTTCAGTAGACTGTTTCCCTGGTGTTGACATCCATTTATTTATTTTTCTCAATTCAAATTAAAAGGGATCCCTTGTGATAGTTGCTGTTTAATTCAAATTATGGCCTGGTTATTTTCAAACAGACTCGGTTTGTTATACCTCAGGTGACAAGCTTGTCATGTTTTATACCACGTAATGTTTGCTTTTACCAGGAACTATAGCCGCTATGATTTTTACAGTTTAGCATGACTTTAGAGATTTTACAATGTTGGTCTGTCCTGTGCAAGACGTTCCTTGTGAAGTTCTTAGCAAGCAGTGCGAGGTGCTCTTTTAGGGTGCTATGGGAACATTGCTACTTTGCTAGCAAAATGCTTTCATATTGAGCCAATGTAAGCAAGCTGCTTTGGTTGGTCAGCTAATCCTTGTCCAGCCCATATTAATGCACACAAAAGATAATATGTTGTATAAGTTGCTGCACAAGTAATAGGCACTCTTGTGTGCTGAATGTTTTTTTTATGCCTTTGTCTCCTTTTACATTCAGTTATCTACGGCCTCGTTCATCCTCTAAACACGTAATGATAAAATTGGTTCAGAGGTGGTAAGGATAAACATTTCTCTTTGTGTTTTTTGTTTTGTTTTGTTTTTACTTTGAATTCATCCTTTGAGACACCATGTTGCATGTGAAAGTAAAAACTGGACACCCCATATGCAGCTTGTGAGAGAAGGAAAAAAAAAAATCAGGAGTTAATCAATGTTAACATTTCACCCATATTGGAGACTGTCGCACTGCAGCTAACAAATATTTGTATCATTCTACTCTTCCCGATAGCAACCATTAGCTCATATTAATAGATGATTCTTTTATTTAACATGTTTTCTTAAATGCTTCTAATCTTTCATGTTATGTTATGATGGCATCAGACTTTGATGACCATATTAAGATGTAGTACAGTTTACAGTATTTATGACACATTGTGAAGCATTCATTA